CTAATTACCTTGTGGGGAAAACGCTCCAAGTGCTCCAATGTCAATGAATTGTAATTAAGGTATCAATCATGGAAACTTCACAAAATGAAAGAGGTGACAAGAAACATTAAAAGAATAGAGTCTAAGTTTTTTTAAAGATTAACAACAGATTGCAGATCTCAAGAAAATCTTTAAAACAATATGCATGATGAAAAATAATGTCAAATGATCTCAGTTTCAAATCTCATATTAGAAAACCAAACTCGATGGAAAACAGATGTTAAAATAGCCTTCTAATTTACTTATCCTAGGAGGATTAGGGAGCCAGTGGATGTAATTTTAAGCATAACATTGATAATTGGATCAATATTTGGGGGTTTGTCATTAACTTTTAAAATTTAGAGATAGTAATATAGTCAATAAAAAAAGGCACCATCCCATGGAAAGTCTTAGTGCAGCTTCTGTTCACCCTCTGTCCCACATCTGCCCTCCAGTCTCTCCTTGGAGGTGTCTTCCCTGTTTCTGGAGTCTACAGGTAGCGTAGCTTCTTTTCTTCAGTGGGATCTGCCTTGACTCTGAGTCTTTATCTCTTTGTGTTGCAATGGGCTGTTTTCCTCTATGGCACCTCTCTAGAATAAGTTTCTAGAGGAACTTAGTTCACCATTGTAGCTTTACCAACAGTAAAATCTCCCACACAGTAGGCACTCTGTAGACATCTTTTGAATGAAATAACAGCAATTGTTTCATTATTACATTCAAAACATAAGGTATGTAGCCAAAGCTGGACTCTTAAGAAAATGAATAGATTTAAATATTTTACTTTAAAATGAATGAATTAAGTATTCAAATCACTCACTTGGAATTTTTTGTAAGATAGAGAAAGGCAAAAAAGGAAATTTCTTTGACACAGCAAGCCAAAACAAAATACCATGCTTAAGGGAAAAAATATTAGTAATATTCCCGTTTAAGTTTGAAACAAAAATTATGCTTGCTGTCTTAAAACATGGGGGCAGCTATAACAAAAATAGCTTAGAAGAGGCAGCTTATAAGCAAAGGGAATTTGTTGTTTTATTCTCTCTCTCTCTTTGAGTTTATTGGTACATTTTAGGTATACAGTACAGTTACATTCATCATTAGGATCTTGTACCTTTACATGGCAGGTCTGGGTTCTCATTTTTTCCCCTTGTCCCTGCCCTCCCTTCACCCCCTCCTCCCTTCCCTATTTACAAACACTTTATTTCCATTTTTTCACATTTTTCCCTTATTACCTTTCCCCTACCCTACCCACTTCCCCTACAACAAAGGGAATTTGTTTCTTTTAGTTCTAAAGGCTAAGTCCAAGATCAAGGCCCTGGAAGATTGAGATTTGATGTCTGGAGAGAGCCTGCATCCTGGTACTTAGTGACTATCTCCTCATAGTGTTTGTATATGGTGGAAGAAATAAGAGAGTTCTCTGGGGCTTCTTAATATAGGCACTACTCCCATTCAAAAGAGCCCCACCCTCATGACCTAGTAACGTCCCCAAAGCCCATTCTCCAAGTACAGTGCTGCTCTGTTTGCAGAAATGCTGCATTTCTTGGTGAAAAGAGAAGAAAAGTTCTTAGACATTCAAGGATCTACCTATTCACAATCTATCCTTTGGGGATTAGGTTTAAACATATGAATTTTGAGGAGTCGCAAATTTTCATTTTACAGCATCTACTATAGCTGTTATTATTCAGTGTTGTTTTAGAGACACCTAATAAAATAAGAAAATCAGAACTATAAATATTGAAACGGAAAAGATAAAATTGTTAGTATGAAAATGATATAAATTGCTTACCTTAAACACACACATGCACGCACGCACACACAGCCCCCTATGGTGGTACATGCCTATAACCTCAGCACTCTAGGAGGCTGATGCAGAAGGATTACAAGTTTGAACCTAACCTGGGTAATTTAGCAATTTATCAAGACACTGTCTCAAAATATAAAAAGGTAGAGAATATAGCTCAGTGCAAGCCACAATAATGAGAAAGAAAGAAAAGAAAAAGGAAAACCACATACACACACAAAGTCAATGTAAAAGGTATTTAAAATAAGTCACTCAGTAAGATGACTAGATACAAGATAAATACACTGGTAGAGCTTTCCTGTTAACAAGAAACAACTATAAAATGTACTTAAATCTTGGTTATAACAGTAGCCACTATAAGATGCTTAGCAATAAATTTATTAAGGAATAAATAAGATCTACCTCCACAGGGTACGGAAAAAGTCTGGGTCAAACTTCATGGATTCAAATCTCAGCTACAGTGCTTAATGGTTATGACCTTAGAATGTTGTGGAAGGAATTGGCAAGTGACAGGCACATAGAGATGAGCTGAGTGGAAGTAAAATAAAAAGTTTATTTTGTCAGAAGAGGGTTGATCGTATTAAAAAAGCCAGTGCCAGTGATCGACCTCCTACTGGGTTTTAGTTTCCTCTTTTATAGGTTTTACAGCTATGATGTCATTCAGGTGGTTACATTTCATTTCCTCAGTTCATATTACCCATGTACAAATTACAGTAACAAGACAGTTCACTTTAACCCAAACGTAACAATTATTTGCAGTTGGGGAGTTTACCTTGAGATTCCTCTAGCTATCTATTGTAGTGCACAGGAAGGAGGTGTTCAAGGTTAGGGATGAGGCCAGATGTCCCACTTCATGGTCAGTGCCTCTGGTGTCTGTTAATTTTGTACTAAATAAAGCAGATTGCTGTTAAGAGACAAAAGAAGTCACTTTATATTTTCCTTACATTTTATAGGTTTTTAGATTATTTACAAAAGTTCTCTGTATCAAGAAAATATTGCCCTTTCTATGAATGTGTTTGTAGAGGAAAAGACTGAAAGGATATGTGTACATGAAAGTAGCATTCTTTTAGTTACTTAGGACTGGCCTATTCTTCCTAACAAAATTTAATATCAGTCAGTATATTAGTTTTCTGTTGCTGCCATAACAAATTACCAGAAACTTGGAGGCTTAAAACACCATCATATCACTTTCTAATTCTCCATGTCAGTATGGCTGAGCTGAGTGTTCTGTTTAATCAGAAGCTCAGATGAAGGTGTTGGTGGGGATGTCCTCAGGCTCCTTTGAGAACTGACTGAATCCAGCTCCTGCCATTGTAGGACTTTTTAGTTTCCACTTCCTTGGTAGCTGCCAACTGGGGGCCATGCTCGATTGTTTGAGGCCACCTGCAGGCCCTGTCACAGCCACCTCACATGCAGCATCAGCAGTAGTGGACCAGATCCTTCGCAGGTGTCCACTTCCTCCGAGTGCCTCTCATCATCTCTCCTGCTTTCTCTTTCTTCATGTCTCTGTGTACTTATGTGCTCCTCTGCTGACTTTAGCACTCAGAGGGTTACATCAGGCTCACCCAGATCATCTCTCCATTGTCATTCAACTGATTGATAAATTTAATAACATTCAAAACCCCTTCAAACCAGTACTTAGATTAATATTTGATATTGTAGCCAGAGGATGAGAATCTTAGGGTGATATCTTTAGAATTCTGCCCATCATACTCAAATCACATGAAGCCAAAGACAACCATCTCAGACACCTGAACATAGTCCAAGCTCCATCTCATATTTCAGATTCCTCTTACAGTTAAGACAGATGAACCCTGAAGTGACTGTCAGAAGCTCCCAAACTCATAGATGATTTCCTCCTCCTCTGTGAGCATGAATTGAGTGTTGTTGTTTTTTTTTACCTTGAGATTCTGGGCAATACTTCATGGCCATTATCAGTCTTTGGCTTCTACAAGTTCATATAAACATCTCTCAGTACATGTTTTTTTCTAAAGCAACACAATAACTGCCCTATAAGACTTGTATAACCCATGTGGCATGATGGACAGAAGAGCTACACCTGAAGTCCAAAGGCTTACCAGCTTCCTCCACTGTGACCTGGAGCTAACAATGGCCACTGTCCAGGAAAAAAGGAGTAGCTGCAAATCAAAGCATTACTGCATCCTTGAGCCATGTGTTCATGGTGACTTGCACATGTTCACATGTTGTGATAATAGTAGTAACATCCTTTTTTTTTTGTCACAAAGCCATTTTGTGTCTTCAGCATTCTCTCTGGCCACAGCACTACAGAAGAGGACACCTTCCCCGGAGTGATATCAGAGACTTAAGAACCAAGTGAAATTCCTCTGAGTTTCAAACTCCATGGCCTGGCAGAATGCTAAGAATGACCAAGACTGAGGAGAAGAAATTCCTTCCATTCATCACACCCCTCACCCAGTCCAGGCCCCTTTGATGTTGCTCACAGTCTCTACACCGTGGTACTGATCCACACTTAAACTCAACATTTGTTTTTTCCCTGAAATTATCCTTTTACAACATCATGAATCAACAAAATCTATTTCTTTGAAGATTGTATATTCTTCCTCAAGGAGGAACTTCATTGCCAGGCATGGCAGATCACTTAAAGAAAGATCTATAGCAGTTATGTTTTATTTTCTGAAGGCTTCTATGTGGCAACTAGTCAGTGGACATTTCTCTGTGGGCTCTGCCCCCGTATCTCCAACTTCACCAGCTCCTTCCAGCCACTGACCCTCAATCCTGCCTGATCTGAGAATTCTCTCTCTTCTGGTGTAGAGCCAGCCCATTCTCTTTGGCTCCTGTTCCTTAACTCATATGTGTCAACTGAGCAGATGTTCCATAGAACTAAGTAAGCCCTTTGCTTTAGCAGGATCCCTACTCGGATGTCAAAGAGGAGCCATAAAAATAGACATAGCCATTTTTCCTATTATATGTGATTAGACCCACTTGCTGATTTGTGTTCAAAGCACTAACAAGGGGGAAAAATAAGAACCAAGAACTGTCATGTAAAGGTACAAGATCCCAGTAATGAGTGTAACTATACTGTCTACCTAGAATATACCAATAAATTCAATTAAAAAAAAAACACTAACTGGGATTTGGCACGTGGTTCTGTGGTCCTGTTCTTAAAGGAATGCCTCTGTCGTATTTGTTTTTTGTTCCAAAGGTGTCCCTCTGCCCAATGTTACATGGCTGAAGAGAGGAAGATCTCTGAGTGACAATGTTTCCTTGCTTTTCAATGGATCCCTGTTGTTGCAGAATGTTTCCTTTGAAAACGAAGGCACCTACATCTGCACAGGCACCAATGCTCTTGGAAAGGTGGTGGCAGCATCCACACTGCATTTGCTGGGTAAGTGCTAAGCTCTCAGTGCTCCTCTCAGGCTCCTGATGGTATATGCATGGCCAGGCCCAGCTCTGTTGTTACCGTAGTCAGAAAGTGAATGAGAGAGATGAGTATTAGATGCCTTAACTAGCTACCTACACTGCCCACTTGATGAGCATCAAGTCCTAACATGACAGGATACTAGCTATACTCTAGGATATGAACTTCTGCCTGGAGTCAAGACTTGATAAGCTCTCTTTCTACATGTGCTTATCTCCTGTTACCAGTTCTAAACTTAGATCTAGTCAGAATAGTTTCCAGCCCTATGATCCCACAAACACACATGTGCACACACACACACAAGGTACACACACAACGTACTCTTTCCTTCTTTGAGAACTTCTCTCCCAAGAGAAATGCCCTCCACATTTCTCACATTGTCTCAGTCCCCCTCACTCTGTAGGACTAACTGATGCCCCATGCACTATGTGAGTCCTCTTCCAATGTTGTTTAACTTCTCCTTTCTCTGGCCTCACTACTTGGTACCACATTGCTCTCTAATTGTTCCCTTTTTAATTTCCATTTCCTCCACTAAATTGTAGGTCCCTCAAAGGTGGGGACCATATTTGATATTCCTCTTGGAGACCTGGTGGAATAATGGAGTATGGTGCACATCAATCCACTAAGTTTGAACATTCTTAATAATAGTTGGTCAGCACTGTGACTTGGAGACTGTCATTGCAGTGCTCCCCAGTACAGGGTGTGAAGCTCCTTTCTCTTGGATCCGGGTCTTGCCCTGATCTTATCACCAGAGCCTTAAATTTCTGGGGTTTGGGGATTCAATAAATAACACTCCTTTTTCCCTCCAAAGCTTGAAATCAGTTAAGAGTTAACCACAGAAGTCAATCAGGTGCTCTTATGGCTTGTGTCTAGGTGTCCCCTAAAAGTCTCATGCACTCATAGATGGAGCTTTTCAGAGCTGGCTGGATCTAGGGTGTGGGAATGTGGATTAAAGGTGTGATGCTGGGGTTAAGGCTGTGTGGTAATAAATTAGTCCACCGATTGGAACTGGCATAGTTCTGAGTGTGGCTGAATGGATTTACTGAAGACAGAAGCCCCATCCTGGTAGCCTGGATGGGCAGAAAGGGACAGAAAGAAGGCAGACTTGCTGCTGGCTGCTTGTTGCTTTGCTGCCTTTTGCCTGGCACACCATGAATTGTTTCTCCTCTGCATTGCTGCTCTACCATGCTGCCTTGCCTTGGAGCCAGCTAGCTATGGGCTGAAACCTCTGCCACTATGGGGTGAAATAATCCTTTCCTCTTTTAACTTGTTGTGATTGTGTATTTTACCTGAGCAATGAAAAAGTAACTAAGACAGGTGCACAACAGAGATCATGCATTATTCCCCTCTGTATTGCAGGTACCTAAGGCAGGTGTGTTAAATATGTCTTTCATGAATGAATGAAATAGAATCAGTGGAAGAAATTAGCATGAGAGTACAGAATTCATGTTTAAAAAGCCTTGTTGCTTTGCTTGGTGGCAGCTAGAGGGCCCTAGGCAGGAGTTGGAGCAGTTGTCAAGCACAAAGTGCTTTGATGTGCACTAATTCTTTGACAACATAGGGTGGAGGGCAGACATTTTATTTAATTTTTTTTTATCAGGATCTTGCTAAGACACTAAGTCATCCAGGCTGGGCTTGAATTTTCAATCCTATTTTAGCGCGGACTGTAGGTGTGTACCACCACACCCAGCTGTAATGTTAAACTTGTTGCATTTATGAGGAAATCTGAGTTTTATGCAGAGATTGGACTAGAGCCCAGATATATGGTTACCTCTTTGAGGGGTCTTCACACTACCCCTCATGGACTTTCCATAGCTATCAGAGAGGCAGGATGTACCTCCATGTGGCTCTTCCCAGAAAGCCTCTGTGGTCCCTAATATCTGGAATTGAAGATTTGACAAACTGGCTGTGCTGTTGGTTTTTCTTCTTCCCCTTCTCTTCTGCTCCTCTTCCCTTCCTCTCCCTCCCCCTCCTCTTCCCC